TGGACATGGCTCGTGTGTAGCGTGAAGAGATTGAACTCAACCTTGCTAAGTTTGAGGTAGTTAGTGTACTGAGGATAGATCTAAATGGTGAAATGTGTTGTCTCCGAGAGATCCCAAGGCCGTATAGTAGTGGTGCTCTGAAAACTCTATATCTTCACTACGTAGGTTGGTGAGATTGGTTCTGTAGTTTTGGACTTTTGGGTACAAGTTTTTAACGTCGATTTTTGTAGGCAAGGACGTGGACATGAGCTATTGAACAAATTGTCGACATATATATGTGAAAGGTTTAAGGGCTCTTGAGATTGGAGATTTCGTTATACAAGTCGAGAATTTGCTTCTCGAAATGAGCCTTTTCACAACCCATCTCGAGACTAAAAGAAGATTTGGGATTGTCTCAATACTCTTAATGGTATTGACAGCAATATACTCTCATCTTATGTGTTTTCATGTCGTGTGGATGACAAAAAAAACAGATATATGAGACAAAATCGCAATTTAATTAAAAAGACAATATTTATAATATAGATATATAATTGGACGATATTAAAACCCGAAACAACCAATCCAAAACAAACTAATATGCAAATAAAACAGATATAATGTCTTCTTATCTTCAAAAAATACAACAAATTTAATCATCTCATTCTGCGCAAGGCGCGGGTCTATTCCTAGTAAGTCAATTAAAAGTCATGACTAGCGACTGATTGTAATTCACACAATACATCATGTGCATACAAACGTTGCTATTTTTGTTTGTAAATTATTTATTAATTGTGCATACAAACGTTGCTATACAAATGTTCGTTGGTACTTCAATTTGTGTGTAAATTACTAATGATTTCATTATTTATGTAAGCAACTTTTGTTTAATCGATGTGTGCGTTGTGATGCTACTTGGCGATGCAAGATTTGTATAAAGTAAAGGAGGTCCTAGCCTATCTGCTCAATTTCGAGTTGATCTTCTTCTCGTCCATCTTCGCCACCATAGTCTTCTTGGTTGGCTTGTTTACTACAGGTGAGCATCACGTTTTGAAGGCACAAGTACGTGGGTTTTCCGAGGGGAAGAGAGCATACATCTGACTATGATAGCTCAAGTCGGTGCATGGCAGGTCTACTGGGCTGGGTTGGTGGGGCTTGTGTTTGCTGTCTCGAGCATGTTCTCGAATGTGATCAGTGTATGTCCGTGGCTCATCGTGTAGCTTCTTGGAGTTCTGTTCTTTGATTCAGGGAAGGATGATTTGGATTATTACAAAGGAGCCACAATAGTATCTGACTTACTTAGCGCTGTCTCTTACTTTTATACGCTTCGCAAAGAGAAAGGAACAGCTACGAGACCACCAGCTAGTTGACGTTACAATACTTTTTCTTATCTCGATCTTACTTTTTTTTCGTCAGTCTTCTCTTTTGTTATATAATCTTATTGTTCTCATTTCTCAACACTTTACGTAACTGTTTTGAGGAGCGAGTTTACTTCGAAATAAGTCTTTTTCATCCCAAACTTTTTTGCGTCAATGAACTCACTGTAGCTGTATACATATATGTGATACAATTCATGTGTCTACAGAGACACTATTTATATACTTTTTACATTTACCTGGTTGATTGCTGTCTACGCTGATTAGAATCCCCCCCTCGTTTTCTTTTTTACATATACTTTTTTCTTTTTCTTTCTTTTTTATCGGATTAGTTGAATACGCTGAAGTAGGTAACGGTCCAGGTTGTAATCAGGCTGTACGAGTCAGTGCGTTTCTGCTGAAAGAACGTGGGAGAAGATCAATTTCCTGGGATGTTTTTACCTAGGTTTTAGAAGTAGTTTTTTTTTTTTTTTGTTTACTCTGTTCCCGTAACCGTTGCTAGTCTCTGAGTTAGTAATTAGGCAGGTGTGGACTTCATTTGCACAATTATGGTGTCTATGTGCAGGAATGATAATGAATTGTCTTTGCACTCCTCTCTGAAGTGAAAGCATGGCTACATGTTAAATTATGTATTTTCAAATAATAATAAGCTTTGGTTCAGAGAACAGGAGAGGTGCGTGCCAATAACAAAACAAAGATCATGCACGAAGAAGAAAAAAATTATAATACATGATAACATAACAATATTATATATGTCTTTGATTACAGGGATCATGATTTTATATGAAGGCTAAGAGATGTAAAGAATATTTTAAACAATGGTGCAGCCGCGTCCACTATCATATGTAGTAACGGTTAGAGTACCCCCATCAGTGAACCTGTGGATGGGGGTTCATAACTTTTACTTTTTTTTTTTTTTTTTTTTTAGTTTTTTCGTTTTAATTTTTTTTTTAAAAAAAAAAACAAAAATTAACCAATCGCGGGCCGCCACATGTCGTGAGGCCCGCGAAACAGTGATGATACTGGTTCATCACCATGAACTTCCAGCACACAGGTTCATAGTTTTAGCATTATTATATTATTTTTTTTTTTGGGAAATGTGAGAGCACCCCCTTATAAACCCTCAATGGGGGTGCTCTTACCATGTCCCATGTATTGTTGTTGTATGAGGAAGATCGAGGTTTAGTACTTTAGTTAGTGTTACTACGTGGGCCAACTTTTGGGCTAACAAAAACACTAAACCCAAAGAAAATAATTTAAAAGCGATGATCAATTAATGAGTCCTCCAGAACTGATTTTTGGTGGCTTGACATGTGAATTGAGCTGACTTGTCTCATTCTATTGGTGGAATGAATTGATTATTTAGAATATTCAAGTTTTAGTATTTTAAGATGTTATGATAAAGGTATGTACAACAAAGACCATTTTAATTTTATTTATTTACAAACTCTCTTACTCCCGCTTCTTCCTTCTTCTTTGATTCCTTCTTTAATTTTGTTCGGTTTCGGGTGCAAACAACGCCCCTATGGCTATGAGTCCTTTTTGCCCGAACCTCCCGAATAACCCAACCAACTGAGTTTCACCATCGGCGGTGAAACTAAAAGTCTCATCCGACTCATCTGCATCGACTGATCCAAAAGTCAATTAAAAGTCGTGACTAACGACTGATTGTAATTCACACAATACATCATGTGCATACAAACGTTGCTATTTTTGTTTGTAAATTATTTATTAATTGTGCATACAAACGTTGCTATACAAATGTTAGTTGGTACTTCAATTTGTGTGTAAATTACTAATGATTTCATTATTTATGTAAGCAACTTTTGTTTAATCGATGTGTGCGTTGTGATTAGGCCTGTTCAATCTGGTGTTCGGTCCGGTTTCGGTTCGGTTATTTTCGGTTTTCGGTTATTCGGTTTATAAAAATTAGCTACCATATTGAAACCATATTTAATTTGGTTTGGTTCGGTATTTATACTACCGGTTTTCGGTTTATTCGGTTTTATACCAAATAACATTATTATTTGATTTGATTTCATATTATATGAATTTAAAAAAAAATATTGTCAAAACTATCATTTATTAAAATAATCCTAGGTGTTCATAAATACAAAAATCTGAAATTAACAACAAACAAAACGACCAACGATTCAGTTTTGTACAACTTTTCTTATTTTCTATTTCTTCTTCCAAATAAATTACATGATACAATCTAATTTCACAATTTCTTACAACATGCAAAATAAAATCAAATTTAGATAATAGTTGAAGAAAATAAAATAAAATTATTAAGATATATCTTCACAAGGAATAAAAAAGTAAAAAAAAAGATTATTCCAAGAAAATATATGGTTATATAATGTATATATTTATATATTTTTTCTTTGATCGGTTTTGTTCGGTTTATTCGGTTTAATCGGTTATAAACCTAACCATATCCAAATCCTACGGTTTTTATAAAATCATATCCATTCGGTTTATATGGTATATACCAAATCTAAACCATATTGTCTATTTCGGTTCGGTTCGGTTCGGTACGGTTTGGTATTACCATATTGAACAGCCCTAGTTGTGATGCTACTTGGCGATGCAAGATTTGTATAAAGTAAAGGAGGTCCTAGCATAGAAGTAAATTAAAACTGGAAATTGTTGAATAAATTAAAAAGTAAATGAACCTTCATAGAAGTAAAAACAAAAGCACAGCTCAGATCAAGAAAGGATATAAGAGGTAAACGATATTAGAAAAAAGTAAGTGAATTTGAATCACAGAATGCAATTGGTGCCTATTTATTTCATTTTTCATATTATATATACCATTATAATTTAACTATAGTACAATTAGAAATAGCTTTCAACCATCATACAATTTGATATTATGAGTTTTCTTTTGTATGGATAGTTTGATTATGAGCTAAGTTAATATATTCAAAATATTTTTATGTTTAGTTTATAATACACAACAACAAATTAAAATGCTATAATGTCGCAAGATCATTGAATATTGTCTCTTCTTCTTTTGTGCAATGATGGTTAATACGAATGAAATTATATGTAACATATAAGTTTAACTTTCTTCTTAATATGTTTTAAAGTGTATAATGTTTAGGGCAAGTGTTGATGACAGCATGCATTACAATATAACAGTTTTTTAACCAATTATGAAATCTTTTGGAAAGCGTGTTTGAAGTGTCTACATACTCGAAATATACAGCACTAATTGTATAATGATGGTTAATACAAATGAAGTTTAACTTTCTTCTTAATATGTTTTACAGTATAATGTTTAGGGCAAGTGTTGATGACATCATGCATTACAGTATCACAGTTTTTTAACCAATTATGAAATCTTTTGGAAAGCGTGTTTGAAGTGTCTGAATACCCTAAATATACAGCACTAACTGTATAATCTGTGGACAGTTCACCTAACATTTGTTTTTGGAATGAACGTTAAATGTATTAAGAAAAACTTTTTCTAGTTTGAAATAAAAAGTTATTCAATTCAATGAATGCCTCTATAGTTTGAAATAAAAATTAGACACAGTGGAAACAATTAGAGAAATTTCAACTCAAAAAGCGAATAAAGAAGAGGGAATTGCTTCATCGACTTCCAAACTACACTCTCATAGCTTTTTCATAGCGATTACGTAGAGAATCTTGAACTGAAGTGATCTTGTTTCTGATTTGAGTCCAAGGTCACCTAACAATTTAATTCAACGCGTGATAGTTGACATATATAGGAAGAGAAGATACTGAGTCTTACTAAAAAGCTCCAAGGCCATACCTAAAGTCAGAAACAAAGTCTATTGCAGAAAGTTATTAGAGTTTGTGGATATAAATTACGACTCAACTTTTCTATTTCTACAACTCATCGTGCTCAAACTCAACATCTTGCAGTTCAGCATGTAGGAAACTCGAGTACCATTGCCCGAACCTCGTTTTGTATCAATCTTGCCGTTCGAAATTGTCCATCTTGCCGTTCGAAATTGTCCATCTTGCCGTACGTTTTGTATTTTCACGTAAAGACTGCAAAATATTCCCACACCATTCTGGCCAAAAGTCAAATAATCCCATACTATTTTGTAGAGTATATGAATTATGATTAAACAACTCTCTAGATGAAGACACATATTTTTCAAAAGGGTACAAGAAATCAACCAGCAATCAAATCCCAAAAATGAAATATAATTTACAGATTAAGAGGACTGCACTAGCTATATATAATTTTAAAAAATCTAATTGATTTTTCCAAAATGAAAAAAAGAAACACTATTAAACACTAATTTTAGTTAGAGTAAATACATGCAATTTCCAAATATTACAGACCCAACATGATGAGTGAACTTTATTTAGAGCAAATATAATCAGTCACTACGAGGTGAACTTTAGTTTTAAATTCAGACAAAGTTATCAACAAGTTTGCTAATCAAACGTGAGACTACCACTTTGTAAGTTTTTTCTGTTGGATGATAACTGTCCCAAAACACATGGCTAGACACGTCGGGACATACAGAAGATGTGATGTTATTGCATAGGACAGCAACTTCTATGAGTCCGGTTCCACAGCATCCTCTATTAGACACTCCAAATCCTACAACAGCTCAAGACTTGGTACGTATTTTACATTAAAGACAAAAAGCTAGTACAAGAAATTTAAATGAAATTTTAAGGTGTTACCGTATTTTGCAGGACTCTGGATGATATCGAGAAGAGGGTCATATACATTAATGTAAACCGGTTTGATACCCGGTAGAGTTTTATGCAACAAATCCAATTTTGTGGAGATCTTTGAATTAAAAAGCTTTGCTGCGTCGTTGTAATTCTCAGCACACTCTCTCAAAAGACCTCCTGCTAAGGTTCTCTGTGATGGTAAACAACCAAGTGGTGGTGCACCAAACACGGCTATTCGTCTCACTCCATATCCGTATAGTTTCTGTCATTGTAGTTGATGAATAGCTTATCTTAATTTAATAAACGATATAGATGCTTAGTCCATGTATCATATGCCATGCGCCCAATATTAATGCCATGAAAGTTATATGTCATGAGAAAATATAAAAGAGTTAGTCGGTAACTTTTGTCCAAAAAAAAAAAAAGTTAGTCGGTAACTTTTATTTCCTTCCGTGATTGTCCTTCATCCGAGCCAAAATGTATGAACCCCTTCAAATACAACTAAAAGTGATATGAAAGGTGATACTATTAGGTAGCTGGCCATGAATTTGATACTTAAGAAATTTTTGTTATAGCACACATTAATACTGTAATAAACACGCTATAAATATTCTGAGGCCTCTTCCAAGATTACATGACATAAATAGAAGTATTATTCACTAAGTTATAACATTTTGTAGATTTTTACTACTTTTAGCATCTGTTTTACGTTGTTTACGGCTTCATACAATAAACTGCAAATGGTTATTTTTATTTAGTCATTCAATAGTACTAGCGGAGGATGAAATAGAATATACTATGAGAGAAGCTTACAGTAACAATATCGGTGGTAGAGTTGGCCATAAGAGTAGTGTACGAGTCGACGTCGTAGAGAGGTCTTGCACGGAGAACATAGTAAGTATTGGCTATGTCGTTGCTGCCTGCGACCAATAAGAATAAGCTATTTGCTAAGATGAAGTCTTTTCTTTCTTCCCCAACTATGTTCTTCACTTTCTCTATGTACTCCTCGAAATAATTTAGTTGCTCTTCTAATGATATTACTGCCTAATACCATCAACAAATACAAATGTGACCAACTTAGATAGATAAATATCAAATCAAATATTCCCATACTATATTAGTTGGATTGCATATGTATATAGTATTACCACGAGTTTGGGTGTTAAAGGATCGTAACCAGAACCTCCTGACGCAAGTGATACACCGGTTAACAGATCATCAGGCTTTAAACTTGGATCGAGATATGCTGGTACGAGTGATTTTATTCCCAATTCTTCAGCTGCAAATAACAATAAAGCATATATAGACAAATAACGTTTTAGGAAATCTCGGAGGTTATGAAATTGCCTAGAATATATTTCAGTGTAACTACTAAGTATTAGGAAAGTTAGTTAATTTTGTAATCCCTAAATCTGACATATCCAAAATAATCCAAATTATAAGATAATTTTATCCGAATCATCTTAATTATTTGATAATTTACCAAAACTATTTAATAAGTTGTTTGAATTATCCAAAATAACCAAACGGGAACTAGAATTTAATGGAAAACAAAATTTCCCACCTAATTTCTGGTTCATAATTTTACTATCCGAACCAAACTGAATCTAGAAATATCCGAATCGAAAATAGGTCAATTAGTAAATAGATCCTCTAAAATACTACTGAATTATCCGGTACCCAAAATATCCAAACCAAACTAACACCCAAAATGCCCGGACCTAATCCATTGTGTGGTGTTCTAATAACTAACGGTCGTTATATATAAATGTGTAAACCTATTTCTCCGTTGGCTTCTCTCTTTTCGCATTTGAGCTGATAAAAAAGGCTTCTCTCTTTTCGCATTTGAGCTGATAAAAAAACGAGTAAAGTAATATCTAGATAAATGACCTATCAAATCGGTGGGGACTCGGCCGTCGCAAAATCTCCCAGTGGGAACTCCGCCTTGGAAATTGATACCGTAAGGCTGAAAATTGCACTTAGCTACGGATTTGATATTGTTATTGTTTCCAGTGTCGACAATGGAGTCACCGAAAGCTATTAGCGCTGGAATCGTCAAATTTGCGGGCAGCTTTATGGCCACGACTGTTTCAGTGAGAACGAGAACGGACAACAAGCATAGTGTCAAGAAATAACAAGAACAAGACCAGCTTGTATTGTCTTTCATGCTTGTTTTATTCTATCCTAAAAAGAACACGATTTAATATATAATGGAATTGCATAAAATTTTCTTCTATGTCGCTTATTCATATATATACACACGCACATACATACATATATACATACATGTATATGTGCACTGCGTTGTGGAGATGTTCTGGACTTGTGGTACACTTCGGACAAGACCGATTAACCAGTTGATTGAAACATTTTTAGAAATTAATTGGGAAGTTTTAATCGTAGCAGACAACTAGGTAGTGTACTTAATCTCAACCATAACAGGCTGCTTTTGAAGACATCAATATTAGGGCGTGTGTAGAAACACGTATTGCCAAGAGAGTGTGACTCCAAGCATGTACAGTATATAACTTTATTAATGCGTATGTACGTTTGTCAACTCGAATTGACCGGAGATTATTATCGCTCTAAAACTTCCAGATGATATTCTCATATGTGAATATTCTCTGCTCTGTGTGAACGTAAAATGCATTAATTAAAATTCGAATGCTACGTGTCAATAGTAAAGCATTGTGGTGTGGATAATTAACCTAGAAGCCTCCCTTGCAACAAATTTCATATCATCATCTATTATTGATAAGATCCATCTCTAATTAATACAGAGAATGGTTAATGGAAATGATAAGATGCTTTTATGCCTGAGACGTAAACTTAGATTCACATTCACCTGTGTAAAAGCAGATGCAAGGAAAAGAACTGGTTCACATGAGAGGGAGTGAGATCAATTGAAGTTGTGCAGTAACTACTTGTTTGACAAATTAAGTGAATTTTATATATTTCTTAGAAACACAGGACTGGTGCACTTGAGAGGGAACTACTTGTTTGAAAAATTAAGTGAAACTTATAGTTATAGATTTCTTGGAAAACAGAACTTACTTGGATTATTTTTTAAGCAACAATTTACTTAGAATAATCACATTCTTACTTATCATCGCAGAAATGTCGCAAACGGAGAATAGGGCGTGTAAGCTGTAGTCGGTAGATCAAAGTGTTACAGCATCGGAGAAGTTTTTTTTTTAATGGCAATGGGGAAATATTAGACGTTAAAAAGACATGCATAAATTTATTGCCATACCATTTTGGCAAACAAATCCCACACTACGTTGTATATATGTAGTTGAGTATATAACTCTAGCTGTTGAGACATATTTTCAAAGGCTAAAAGAAACCTGCAAGCAATTAAATCCCTAAGTTCGAATAGAATTTAAAAAAGGAAGATGACTGCCCTAACTTCTTTTTTTTTGTCATCGATCATCTTAACTATAATTAATACCTCTATTGATTTCTCCAAAATGAAAATGAAACATCTTTAAATATTAATCTTATTTAGAGCAAATACAATTACCAAACAATACAGACAAAACATGATGAAATATAATCAGTCACTACCAAGTGAACTTTAGCTTTAAATTTAGACAAACTGATTAACAAATTTGCTGATCAAGAGTGAGACTAACACTTTGTAAGTTTTTTCTGTGGGATGATAACTGTCCCAAAACACATGGCTTGACACGTCGGGACATACAGAAGATGTGATTTTATTGCACAGGACAGCAACTTCTATGACTCCGGTTCCACAGCATCCTTTATTAGAAACTCCAAATCCTACAACAACTCAAGAATTACTACATATTTTACATTAAAAGAAAAAAGCTAATACAATAATTTAATTTAAATTATAAGGTGTTACCGTATTTTTCAGGACTCTGGATGATATCAAGTAGAGGGTCATAGATATTAATGTAGACCGGTTTGATACCCGGTAGAGTTTTATGCAACAAATCCAATTTTTTGGAGATCTTTGAATTAAAAAGCTTTGCTGCTTCGTTGTAATTCTCAGCACACTCTCTCAAAAGACCTCCTGCTAAGGTTCTCTGTGATGGTACACAACCAAGTGGTGGTGCACCAAACACGGCCATTCTTCTCACTCCGTATTCGTATAGTTTCTGTCATTGTAGTTGATGAATAGCTATCTTAATTTAATGAACGATAGTATACTCAATCCACGTATAGTTATTACATTTTCTATCACAGATGTAAGAAGGTAAAAGATAAGAAGAAAAAAATTCCTGTACATGTCATGCCGCCAATATTAATGCCATATGTGAAAGTTATATGTCACGAGAAAATATAAAATATTTTGTCGGTAACTATCTGAGTGTCCTTTATCCGAACCAAAATGTATAAACCTATTGAAAATAAATCCCCTAGTAAATGCATACTGTAAAAACAACGCTATAAATATTATGAGCCGTCGTCTTACAAGATTAGATGACATAAATGGAAGTATTAGTCACTGAATTACAACATTTTTGTTAGATTCTTTTTCTACTTTTAGCATATCTTTTAGGTTGTTTAAGGCTCATACAGTAAACTGTAAATGGTTATTTTTGTTTACTCTTTCAATAGTACTAGCGGAGGATAAATTAAAGTATACTACTTATTGTGGAATATAATATATACAATATATCTAAAATATGAGAGAAGCTTACATTCACAAAATTGGTGGCAGAGGTGGCCATAAGAGTAGTGTACGAATCGGCATCGTAGTGAGGTCTTGCACGGAGAACATAGTAAGTATTGGCTATGTCGTCGCTGCCTGCGACCAATAAGAATAAGCTGTTTGCTAATATGAAGCGTTTTCTTTCTTCCCCAACTACATTCTTCACTCTTTCTATGTACTCTTCGAAATATTTTAATTGCTCTTCTAATGATATAACTGCCTATACCATCAACAAATACAAACGTGACCAAGTTAGATAGATAAATTTCAAATCAAATATTTCCATACTATATGAGCTAAATATAAACACTTTGATCGAAAGATTACATATATATATGTATATAGTATTACCACGAGTTTGGGTGTTAAAGGATCGTAGCCAGAGCCTCCTGACGCAAATGATACACCGGTTAACAGATCTTCAGGCTTTAAACTTGGATCAAGATATGCAGGTACAACTGATTTTATTCCCAATTCTTCGGCTGCAAATAAGAAAACAAAAGCATAAAGACAAATTAATAGCGTTATAGAGTCAGTGTTACAAACTTACTAGCCTTGTCTTTATCTACTATCCAAAAATGGACAAAAAGAAAATAAATGATTGCTCAAATGATTTTCCGGTGTCACTAACATTTACTTGTGTCCTAATAACTAACGGTCGTTATATATAGATGTGGAAATCTATTTCTCCCCTGACTTATATATTTTCGCATTAGAGCTAAAAAACACTGAGTAAAGTAAAATCTAGAAATGAATATGTACCTATCAAATCGGCGGGGACTCGTCCGTCGCAAAATCTCCCGGTGGGAACTCCGCCTTGGAAATTGATACCATAAGGCTGAAAATCACACTTGACTACGGTTTTGACATTGTTATTATTTCCGGTGTCGACAATGGAGTCACCGAAAGCAATTAGCGCTGGAAACGTCAAGTTTGGGGGCAGCTCTATAGCAACGACTGTCTCAGTGAGAAAGAGAAAGGACAACAAGCATAGTCTCAATGAAAAACAAGAACAAGACCATTTTGTATTGTCTTTCATGTTTGTTTTATTGTAAGGTAATAAAACTAGATTTTAATATAAGAAAAGTTTGCTTTGAACCAGAACAAAGAGAGAATTGTATAAACTTTTCTTATGTCGTCACGCTTATTCATATATAGACGCACACAGATACACACATATTTATATGTGCACTGCGTGGTGGAGATGTCGTGGACTTGTAGAAGACTTGGGAGAAGACATAATTAACCAGTTGACTGAAACACTTTTAGACATACATTGGGTATTTTCAAAATTTTAACCGTCGAAAACAACCGAGATAGGGTACTTAATTTCAACCATAACAGGCTGCTTTAAAGACATAAATATAGGTGCATATGTCGAAACACGTATAGCCAGCAGAGTATGACTGCAAGCATGTATACTATATTAGTATGTATAGTAAATTAAACGAATAATAATTAAATTTTTAATGGCTAAACATCTCTTATATATTAAAAAAAAACATTACAATATTTTGTTATGACATATGTCGTCATTAGAATATTTGTCAAAGTTTTTAGAGATAAATTTTGGTCCCTATAAATATATAATATATTTTTTTATTAAATTAACCATAAAACTATTATTAAGCTCTTCATTCTTTCTTTATATAAAAACTACAAACTATCTAATATGATTAAATATATATATATATATATATATATAGAGAGAGAGAGAGAGAGAGAGAGAGAGAGAGAGAGAGAGAGTGAATGATTTGAATAAGAAATATTTGAATAAAATTTGTGTAGACTCTATTGTTTTAATTAAATTTATATTCTGAAAATAAATTAAATAATAAAATTAACTATATAATAAAATGATATTTTTATATATAATATATTTTGAATTTTTAAAACGAGTATAATTTAATATAAGCTTTAAATATTCCACATAGAATATTTTTTTATTAATAGTTAAAAAAAAATTATAACAAGATACAAAGACTTATAAAATCAATGAGTAAGAAATATCATTTAACAGATACTCAGATTAAATATATATCATTTAATAGAAATATCAGTTAATATATATATATATATATATCTTTTTAATGACATTAAATTAAACTATATACCATCTAAAATACATAAAAGTAATTTAAAATTTTATATTGAACAAATATTGTGAACTTAATACTTTAGTTTCAAATTTTGAAATTATTTTTCAAAAAATATTATGGTTTACTATAAATATAAAATGTCACATTGAAATTTATGTTATCAATGGTAAGAAAAATTTGTTATAAAAATATACCAATGCTCATAAAACTATATAAGTATGAAGTTTTATTTAATAGATATTCAAACTAAAAATATACTATCTATTTTTTTTTTTTTGACATAAAAATATACTATCTATATATATATATTTTAATATCATTTATTGTTTAAATTTACTTATATAAATTACAAGTGGTTCTAAATAAACAAGTATGATATTTTATTTATGTATTCCATTAATTTGATTATATACATAATATTTACTATTTCTTAATGATTCAATATATATATATATATATATATATATATATATATTTATTAATTTATAATATATCAAAAATACAATATAAATAATAATATATAAAATAATTTGTATATACAATTATCATTTCGTGAAAGACGTGGATCTTAATTTAGAACTATGATATTTTACTAGTAATAGAAGAAATTAGTAAACCAACTAACTATGTAGGAGAATCTGGTGTATAATGATAATAAAAAGAAATTATCGAACTACATAATGGTTAAAGATATTCACAAATCCCCTATATATTATTTGTGAAGTGATTTTGCCACATGTCCTCTCTAGAATCAGTTTCACAAAAAAATGGTGACATGTCTACTAGAATTGATGACATGGCATATGATTAAATATGACATGGATAATTGCATTTAATGTTAATATATATTTTTGGAAAATTTAATAAAATATGGTAACAATTCATATATTACATTTAATGTCGATTTATATTTTTGGAAATATTTTTAAAATATGGTAATAACTAATAAATCATCATTAAAATAAATCTATACCAATATGGAATTCAATATTTCGAAAATATCATTTAATTATATATTTTAAGACTATACAATTTTATTACAAAAATTTCAAAAAATGTATACATTTTTGGAAAATTATTAAAATTTAATCGTAAAATTATTAATTTCTTATATATTTAAAAATTTAATAAATATTGTCTAATTTTAATATAATTATAAAATTTTCTACAAATTGATTTAATATATTTAATTAACATAAATAGATCAAAAATTATCTAAGATTATAATTTTAAATATATACATGCATATTAATTATATATTTTAAGACTATACAATTTTATTACAAAAATTTCAAAAATGTATACATTTTTGGAAAATTATTAAAATTTAATCGTAAAATTTTTAATTTCTTATATATTTAAAAATTTAATAAATATTGTCTAATTTTAATTTTTGTTAAATATAAATTTTCTACTAATTTATTTAATATATTTAATTAAAATAAATAGATCAAAAATTATCTAAGATTATAATTTTAAATATATACATGTATATTCTTAAATATAATTAAAATAAAAAATACTTTTATATTACTTTTTCTGTTTGATTTAAAAAATTGTATTAAAATAGTGATAAGAAAAAGAACTCATAAATTATCATTAAGATAATAAATGATATAATAGTAGAAATATAAATATAATAATATTAGAAATATTGAAATATTTTTAAGTGTATTTTTATAATTATATATTTTTATTAAAAAAAAATTTCAAAATTTTATGCAGTTTTTTTTTTAAAATTAAAATGTTCTAATCCCAATACCATTAGCTATATTTATAACATCTATAAATATTAGAAATATTATTTAGTTTTATATTTTTATAATTATATATCTAACAAAATTTTCTCTTAATAGTATAGAATCTGATTTAATATAATTTAACCAAAAGATAAAAGATACATATATATTATTAAATATAAATTTAAGAAATTTTTTTAAGATAGACCTAAAAAAAGTTTTAATCACAAATATAGACCTTAAAATAAAAATGATCAAGATAGACTTAATTTTTTTATCAAAAATAAGTAAATATACACTTATATCATTTGGGATAACTAATCGTAAACCTTTTTGTTTAAAGTTGAGGAGTGGGGTTTTGGGGATAGGATTACAAAATTTTTTTTAAAAAGAGTTGAAATTTTCAAAAGAAAAAATGATGTTTTGGTTATTTTAGTTTTAATATCTATTTTTGTGAAAAAACCTAAAAAAATTCTATTTGAGAGAACTGTCCGATATTTAAATAAAACTGTTTATTTTCTCTTAATTCTTACATATAATTAATGTAAAATTAATAATGTAATAAAAAAATTTAAGAATTAATTAAATTTTATTTTTAAATAGAAATTTATTTTTAAAATTTTTATTTCTGCACATGGTGCAGGAAACCACCTAGTATTATCGAAATGCAAAGTGCTTCTACTACAGGAATACAACTAAATTAAGTTTTCATACCAATAAGAGGTACTTTGTTACAGTTTGATCATAAAATTAATTACAGCACTTTGATTTATTGTTTCCGTATTCTTATGAAGAATCAGCTTGTTTTTACCGTAAACCGACTCTAATTAACTGGGGATTATAATCGCTGTAATACTTTCAGATGAATCCTCATTCCTCATATATATGAGAATTAAATACTCACTGCTCGGTTGAAAGCAGAACGCATTAATTAAAATTCATAATATGCTACGTGTCTATAGTGAAATCACTATGGTGTGGATAGCACAAGCTGACAAGTTGCTGTGGAATCTACAGTATTATGGAATCGGTCATCGCGCTTTCATTTCATGTAACACACAACACAATAAAGAGTTATTTAAGTGAAGACTAGCTAGTTTTTTGGGTTAAAGAGAATAGCTAGGTTTACAACAAAAGACTAGACATTTGGATTTTTATTTTATTTGCTTATAATCAGTACTATTATCAAAATAAAATTTCTGTTTGTGTTGAAATTTTGTTTAGTTTTGGTACAACAAATAAATTTATAATATTTGATTTATCTTATATTTAGTAAATGTAAAATTATAAAAATTTCATATAATTATGTAATAGATTGTTAATACATTTGATTCGGTTGATTAAGATTGTTCAGGATGGATTCAAAGATATATTTACATATATAGTGATCTTATATTTCTTATATCTAATATATTAAACAACTAATTATCTGGTGTTACTTATATAAATATCATTGTAAATATTATACATTTGTAATTTAATTCCGCTTAATATAATCTTCAGCCAAGCCCTTTAACAAAAAAAAATTAGCATAATCTAATCCGACAACTAGGTTACGCTAAAATGCGATAACTAATAAATTAAACAATCTCAAGCTAAACTCTTTGAGCCTATCAAGCTCAATAATATACAGTATATTGTTGGTATCATTTTCAGTCTCTTTCGTAACATATTCTACTTTTGAGAATTCTTTTGATATTCGACTTAATGACTCATCATGCAAATACGAACAATTGAACAAAGGTAACAAAGGCGTAGGGTAGATATGTGGATCACACCCAACAGGTGATACTACCGCAAACTGAATGTGAAGAAGGTAGCTTTCTATATATACACACGTGATATAAAAAGCGGCATTAAGAAGACAGAAATTGTGGCATGAGAATATATAATAGATAAATGTTTGCTCGGATTGCTACCTGTAAAACGATGGTCCAAATGTGACAACTATATATATTATAAATAGCAAGCCCGCGCTTTAGTACTAGCTGAAAAATCAAGCTAATTAAGAATTTATGAGTAAGATATATAGACAAGGCTACTAGAATGTGGAACTTATAATGACTCAACTACTTTATCG